TGCCTCATGTCCATTGTGGGCTGCCCAGAAGATTGGTGTTCCGCCGTGCTTGTCCGGCCTATCGGAGGTTGACGTCTTCCCGCCCCAGTAACAGCTTCACCACTGCCTCATGTCCATTCTCGGCAGCCAACGAAATTGGTGTTCGGCCGGCGTTGTCCGGCGTATCGGGGTTGACGTCTTCCCGTCCCAGAAACAGCTTCACCACTGCCTCATGTCCATTCCGGGCAGCCAGCAAGATTGGTGTTTGGCCGTGCTTGTCCGGCCTATCGGGGTTGACGTCTTCCTGTCCCAGCAACAGCTTCACCACTGCCTCATGCCCATTCTTCGCAGCATATACCAGCGGTGCAGTACCCATACAATCTACGCAGTTTATATCAACACCACCCATCTCCATCAATGCCCTCGCAAGCTCAGCAAGTCCGAAGAAGGACGCACAATGTAGTCCTGTGAATTTGTAAGGCTCCACAATCGAACGGAGGGAATACCGCCACATATGCCCCAAAAGTATTTTGATCGATATATGACGTTCGTAGTGGCTAAAGAGACCCAGTGCAAGGCCTTGACCACGATCTGAGTATTCTTCGTTCAAATGGGCCCCCCAATACGAAGCAGAATATGCAAGGAAGGGTTGGCACCGAGCGCTCTCAATACTGGAGGCGGAAAGCGCCATTACCGGCTTTGAATTTAGGTATGTCAAGCAGGTCTCAGCAATTGTAGCGTGAGGGCTGCGGAAAAGCTTGGTACGGCTGGCTAGATATCCTTGTAGCGTGTAATGAATCAGTCGAACAGCCGACCCTTCCTTATCTACCGTCACGAGTCCTTGGCAGCAGCTTAATACTGTCGTGATAGAGGGAACATTGTCGGCATTGTATTCCGTCGCTCCTATTTCGACCGCCAAAGCATGACACAGCTCCTCCGCTCCCAATGGCCGTTCCGCATGACATATCCACATCAGTGCAGCCACCCCGAGTCTCGACTTCTGACCTCCTTGCGCCATTATCCGATCCAACGTTGCGCCGTAGGCATCTTCCAGGCCCAACCCATCAGTCATTACCCTGAGCCTTTCCCGCCGCCGATGGATTGTGGTCTCCTGCAGAATTGCATCAAGGTTTAGCGAGACTAACAGAAATCTATGTGTGCATCGGTCAGCCGATAGCCTGGCTGGAATTCCCTATTAGGCCTCTTCTACTTACATCTCCGAGACACTTTCCGGAATCTTCTCCTCAATCTCCTCCTGCAATCTATCATCCATCTCCTCCGCAATCGGGTCCTCGACAAGCTTCCTGCGGATGTATAGAATAAGGTCATCCTTTCGGGGATGTACCGATATCAGTGCAGCTCCCCCAGGTAGATGCCTTTGTACCTCACCACCGACATGTGGTCTCCCCGTCATGAACACTCGAGTGGTGGGAGACATTTTGACGATATCCTTGAGTGCGAGAAGGATTTTGGCCCGATCTGCTACAGCGCATTCGTCAATCGCGTCGAGGCAGAAAAATGTGCGGCGCGAAGATGAGAGGCTCCCCAACATCTTCACAATCTCAGCAAGTCGCAGTCTCCGGCCGCCAATAACTTTCTTCTGTTTCTCAAACGCGTCCTTTACCTCACCGGGAATTTGCTCAAATCCGCCGACCACTTGTTTGAGCAGTGCACCCAACATGCTCACCGCTGACTGCTCCTTCTGGGCGGCGAAGTCGAAATAGAAACACGCCACGGCAATATCCTCCCCTCCAGCCTCACCAGCCCTATCGCACAATGTGTCGATTACTAGTGAGCTAAGATTGCAACCCGTTAGAAAAACAAAATGTCCTGCTTTGTCCCTCATCTCCACAATATCGCGTGTCTTACCTAATGTATGTCTTGCCGACCCCTGGATTTCCAGAGCAAAATACGGCTGTCTTCCGCGATTCACCTTGACTATCACGGCTATACCAGTTTAGAAATTCCTTTGTCTGCAGAAGCCAGACTCCTACATCGTCAACCCGGCGTGTTTGGATGTCATAATGCCGCAAGTTGGGGTCGAGAGGAGACAACCAAGTGAGGGTTGCGGACTGGCCATCAGTGACGGTAATGTGGTTCGAAATGGAATTTCTATTGGTTATGTTGAAACAGTTGCTGTTGTTGTTAAGAACGTTGGTATTACTATTTAGAGAGCCGACGGTGTTGAAGGAGTTATCACATCCTGAGGAATAAGGATTATGAAGGGACCTGGTGATGAAACTAGGATCTCGAGACATTTTTCCGCTCTTGGGTCTCGGGAATGGGGTTGGTTAGCTGGCGGATGGATTGAAGAGGTGCTCGGGTGGGTATGATGGTGTTGGGAGATAAGATTCCACGCAGCTGAAGAAAAGTGGGGTTTATCACAGCCTTGCAACCGGCTCAGGCTCCACTTGCTCTGCTCGAGTACCGGTATGATAAGACAATAGCAGAGGCCGCCCTTCCCCCAAGCTGTCCCCTCCAAGGCTGCCATGTCCATTATGCGTGCCAAGGTTGCAGCTACTGTAGGGCACTGCAACCCCAGAAGATTCGCCGGCTCATTTTTCGGGGGGGCACCCATCCTGAGTGCCTGACAGCTCAGCATCGCTTTCGTTGAAGTATCCTCACTTAATCGAGTACAGCAGGTTGTAAAAGTTTTGTCCAGAGTTCGTTGGGGGCAAAAAAAAAAAAACATGTATGAAAGTGGGGCACATTAATGGATTAGAGTAGTCCGGCAGGTCCTCAATATAAATTAGTATCCTGACTATTTACTGATCCGGTTTGGCAAGAGGTCAGCATGTACTCGTATCATAGGATCGAAGATACGAGTAGACTAGCCCTACTGCACTCTACCCCAGTGAGATCTCGATGACCAAGACACAAACACCAAATTCTTATGATAATATCACATCTCCTTCCGAGAAACCCCCCCCATTGTGCGATGCTATCATATCACTCGGGGTATGGATACATGGTGGTGGGGAGGGCTCGGCCCTGGTGCGCTGCTCTGGTACCGTAGCAAAATTGCAGAGATATTTTGGTTGAAAACGGGACTGATTGTTATCTGGTTGCAGAAAGCCGCTCGATACTATTTGGACGGATATTTATTTTACACAAAAAACTGCTGTGGTAGGGGGCAACAATCAAGAGGGGCGGCAAACAATAAGTCAAAGATTTGCTGGAAAATGTCAAATTTGATCTACTATTCATTGCCCCCTCCCCCATCCTAATGTTACAAGCCATTTGGTAAGTTACCAAAAAAAAAAAAGCCACCACTCAAGCATCATCGCCGTCTGAGTCGTCTTCATCCTCATCCTCGTCCTCAACATCCTCCATATCCTCGTCCTCTGACTGCTCCTCAGCTGAAGGATGTCCCTTTTCATCACCGCTCTCATCGTCAACACCCCCACCTCTCCTCTTCGCCTTCTCCTGCCTAAGGCTCTCCTCAATCATCTTCCTCTTCTCCTCCCTCACCTTCCTCTGTGAGAGCACGTATGCCCCAAACGGGGTCTTCTCCCACGTGATGTCGTCAAGGAATTTATCCACCATGTCAATCTTGTTGGGCGCGAACTCGACCTTGCTCCTCCTCTCCTGCACCCACTTCGAATTCGTCTCCAGTTTCCCGACAAACATGTTGAGCGCGTTATTCAGGTTGACCACAGGAGACTTTTTAATCCAGCGCTTGACATGGACGATGGCTGGTATGGCCAGCTCGGGGAAGGCAATGGATTTGGCGTGCAGGACGAAGAACTCCGAGAGGAGTTCTACGACTTGCTCGCCGACGCCATCTTGGTAGGCTTTTGTTAGCAGATAGGATTTTGGCGCGCGGATGGTTGTGCTAAAGTCTAGGGGGCGGAGGGTCGATGGTTTGGGCTTCTTCCTGAAGATGGTTGAGGCGAGGACTTCGAGGAGAAGGGAGGCTAGGGGGATGTAGACTCCTGTTGCTCTTGAGAGACGGAGAAGGGAGCGGAGGAGGTAGAAGCGTAGGGGGAAGTATTGGGCCGTTGGAATGAGTTTGATGGCGCCGAGGGTTACCTGGATTAATGGGTAGATCAGCGGCCGCAGGGGAGAATCTTTGCCTGCTTCAACTTCTTTGAGTCCATCGCAGTGAGTTGAGAGGACACGGGACCAAAAGTCGAGGGAGTGGACGTATTGCCAATTGTAGACGGTTTTGTACGAGTCCTGGGTTTTGTGGGTTAGCAAATGGCAACATGTGGTGGATGAGTTATCACCGCAAAACCTTTGAATTATTGATAATACTGTTTCTCAAATGTACTGCCAATTGTCTGATATATCCAAACCCAACAGAATACCCGACTTTGTCCATACCATTCAACCCAAGAACTTCACGGGCAGAGTTCTTCATCAAATTAATCCCCTGCATAGTGTATCCACTTGTTTGTCTACTAGCACGAATAAACCCGGTGTATAGCGCCTTGAAGCACATCTCTTTCAGCCCATCATCTCCAACCACGGCAGCTCTTCGGACAACCAAGAACGCTGTGATTCTTGCAGACTCGTCTGAGCTGTTTGCAGCCCAAATATCGACGACAGCCTTGATATAGGCCTTGAGGAACTTGCGGAAGGATAGGAAGTATGGGACTAGAGGAATTGTGGAGTTTAGAAGCAACTTTTGAGTTGAAGCGTCGGTAAGGGTAGGGAGGAGGTGGAGCAAGGATGCCGAGTGCGACTTGAGTAGTGGGCTCATTGACCGGTATTTTTTGGTATCGCTGGCGATACGGCTGCGGTGCGATCAGCCACGGTCACCCTTAAACGCAAAATATGTACTTACATCTTCCCCGATGCGCTCTCCTTCACTGGTAAATGGTGGTTGAGTACATCAGGAACATGCTTTAACGTCAAAACCAAGAGTTCATGATAAACTATCTTAATTAGCATCGTAGAGACCAAGCCGGAGTAATTACTCTACATACCATTAGCATCCGTGATAGAGTACTTGTACCCATTGCTATCATCACCAACATCGTTGACGTGTGCCGCAGCTCTAAATGCCAAAACTACCTTCTTAAGGCTACGAAGACTCCGTTCCTCCACAAGTGCCTTCTTCCATGTTTCCACATCTTTCAGTGTAACTTCAATGCTCGAGCCAGCACTGTCGCTCTGTGCTAACTCTTTATCTTCACCCTTCTTGGGATTCTTTTTCTTCTTCTTCTTCTTCTCAGGTGCTTCGTCTTCACTCTCGCCTTCAGACATAATATCAATCCCGGAAAGGTCATCCTGTTCTGCCGCCGTAAAATCCAGTAATTGAGAATCGTTTTCCTGAAGGTATCTGAAAAACTCTGGATCCTTTTCTAAAAGCGCAGCTAAATCTGCCTTGTGAGTTTCCAACTCATCACCTCCCTCCTCCCCCTCCTCTTCTTCCCCCCCACCATCATCTTTCTTCTCTGTTTCCTCCCTCTTCCTCTTCAGCTCCTTCTTCTTCCTCTTCCTTTCCCTCTCCGTCTCGGGAATCTCAAACCCGCCCTGGAAGAATTGCTCGACACTCATATCCTCGAACAACTCCACATCACCGTCCCTTCTCTTAGCCTTATTTATCTCCCTCTCCTCTGCATCTTCGTCGGCATTTTCATCCACCCTCTTTTTCTTGCGCTTCTCAGCGAGTTGGTGTCGTTGTTTTACCTTTGCATGGGTTTTTCTCTCTTCGAGTGTTCTCGTCAGGTGCTTTGCTTCGAACTTGCGGGTTGATTTCTTCATGCGACCCATTGTTGCAGGTTTCGAGAGATTGGTGCTGGTAAGGGTGTTATAGTGGTGGGATGGAGGACTGAGGTAAATTTGGGAGGGAATGGAAAAAGTGTTTTGGGATAGAGTCTTTTCCGACGGTGCGAGATTCTCGAGTCGCGAGAGTGGCTGCAGAAAAGTGGGGGTGCGGTTATTCCTGGAACCACACCTAACCTATCAGAGGATTAATGACCTCAAAGCAAATAGTCAAACTATGATGAGTGATGGCATACAGTCCAAGTACAGTCTCACCTCACTATCCTGAACAGCCAAAATCCGAAGAATTTGTCCAGTACAGCAAGGGATTCAGGACAGTGGGTGAAGTTTTGTGGGAAGAAATCCACGCTCTCCCTTTATTGGATGGTGTATTCGACCGAGTAGAGCCCCCGTAACTTCCCGTAGCTATCCTCTGCCGAACTGATTATTAAAGGAACGCAGAAGTGATCCAATGATATGCAGTGTAACTTCAGAGATAGAAAGAGGTAAAAAGCAATGGAAAAGAATATGATTTTCTATGTGGGTGGTGTGTTGGTTTTCCCTAAGTCCTCCCCAGTGGTTGTCATCTATTAAGGACAGAAATGAAGTCACACTCAACTTTGCAGAATTGTGTGCCAAGCCATCCCCCTAACTATGATAATTATGATATCAAACTCTGCAGTGATGAATACCCTATCAGATACAATGACCAAGCCCCAAAAACCAACACCTCTTCCACACTGGTATTGAGACAAGAGAGGGTGGAACAGGTGTGTGGACACTAACCTGTCAGGGCTGCCAAGACAGTAAGTGGCAGAGCCACTCTGGCGACTTGAGAATCTCGCGGCGCCGGAAGAGACGGTAGGAAACATGAATGTGGTATAAAACGCTTGGCATGTGTGCGGCTCTGGCGGTGCCCCGGATGGAGAAAAAAAAAACAGAACACTTTCCCCCACTACAACCTAGATTCAAGGTCTCCCTATGACAACATTCTGCGCAAGTCCGCCTATCGCCAATTGGATTCTTTCAAATATAAAATGGCCAAAGACAAATATCGGAAGAAGGTCTCTGATGAGCCAAAGGTTCCCGTGACACGTTTGTTTCTTCCCAGCTCACTCTCTACTCCAGAAGCAGGCCGTCTTCAAGCTAATTTTTATCCAATAGTGGACGAGCGGTTCACCCCAATTCACAGTGACCCCCGCTTCGCCCTCCCCCGTCGCAAAGATGCAAAACTCAAGGTCGATAAGCGCTTTGAGCGCATGTACAAGGATGAGTCGTTCGCGGCGAAAGCCAGTGTAGACAGATACGGCCGGAAGATTGGAAAAGATGCTGGGAAGGAGGAAATCAAGCGGTACTACCATATCTCCGACGAGGAAGATGAGGACGAAGAGGAAGCACGAGCATACGACCCAGCAAGAGGCGAAGGTGTAATTTCAACTTCTGAGGAATCAAGCGATGAGGAAGACGAAGAAGTTGGAGAGGCGGAGGAGGAAGCGGTGAGGGCTCAAATGGAGGTTCAGAGGGAGATCCCCATGGGAGAGGTTAGTAAGAGGTTTGCAGCGGTGAATTTAGACTGGGATAATGTTCAGGCGGTGGACCTTTTAAAGGCTTTCTCGAGCTTTGTCGCTGGAGGTGGAAGCATTGTTAGCGTGACGGTCTATCCGAGTGAGTTTGGCAAAGAGAGGATGGAAAGGGAAGAGATGGAGGGGCCGCCTAGAGAGATTTTCAAGCCAAAGGGTAAGGCCAGGACTATTGGCAGTGATGATGAGACCGGAAACCAGGACGAGGAGGTCAACGAGAAGACCATCATTAAAGAGGATACGGGAGAGGAGTTTGATAGTGGCAAGCTGAGGAATTACCAATTGGAGAGATTGAGGTGTGCTCTAGTGATACCGTTTAAATTGTGAAAGCTACAATCGAGCTAATCGGGTGCGGTAGCTATTATTACGCAGTAGTAGAATGCGATTCCCCGGAGACTGCGAAACATATTTACGAGCAATGCGATGGTGCAGAATATGAAGCTACTGCGAATTTCTTTGACCTCCGATTTATCCCAGATGAAACATCTTTCGAAGATGATAAACCTCGAGATAGGTGTACCGAGGTTCCAGAAAACTACAAACCTATTGATTTTTCCACAGACGTATGCCTTCGACATCATGATATCATGAACAGCCACTAACACCTATATTCCAGGCACTCCAACACTCTAAAGTCAAACTAACCTGGGATGAAGACGATCAACAGCGAAAACTTGCTACCAAACGTGCCTTCTCCCAGCGGGATATGGAAGACATGGACCTAAAGGACTATCTAGCTTCAAGCGACAGTGAATCCGAGTCCGGAGCTCGCGAGGCAGCAAAGGATAAATACCGGGCTCTGCTATCCGCTACTGGTTTCGGAAAGAAGGACGGGCCCGAGCTAGCAGGCGATATGGAAGTCACATTTGCATCAGGGCTAAGCGAAAAGGCCAAAGGTCGAAAAGTCATTGAGGAGGATGAAGAAGCAGAAACCACAATAGCCAAGTACGCCCGAAAAGAGAAAGAGCGAAAGCAACACCGGAAAGAAAGGCTGAAAGGCGCACGAGAAGGGAATGGCGGGGGCGACAAGCCCGGGAAGGCGGAGGATGAAGCGGGAGACATAACCACAAACCTAGGCTTCAATGACCCCTTCTTCGCCGATGCCCCAGCCTCAAAATCTGCCGAAAAGAAGGAAAAGAAGCGCAAGGACCGAGAAGCAAAAGCTGCTGAAGCTGCCGAAAACGCGTCCAAACGCGCGGAACTGGAACTCTTGATGGCGGGCGAAGACGTCAATGCCGACGACAAAAAGCTCCACCACTTTGACATGAAGCAGATCGTTAAAGCTGAGAAAAAGAAGGGCAAGAAGATCAAGCGTAGAAAGGAGGGGCCCGAGCCTGAGGGAATGCAGGATGGGTTCGAAATAGATGTTAAGGATCCTAGATTCGCGGCTGTTTATGAGAAGCATGAGTTCGCGATTGATCCGACAAACCCGAGGTTCGTGAAGACAAAGGCTATGGTTAAGCTTTTAGAGGAGAGGAGGAATAGGACGCAGAAGAGGGATAATGATGAGGGGAAGGAGGTCGAAGGCAGGGGAGAGGGGAAGAAGCGAAAGGTGGACAAGCCGGATAAGGGCGGAAAGGATAAGGATGAGCTCAAGAGGCTAGTGCAGTCACTAAAAAGCAAGTCTAAGGAGTAACGGGTGTTATGGACGCACAGCGGTTTCTGGAGTATACAGGTGTTGTTGTAGTTGTAGATGGCTGTATGATAGATATCCTCTGAATATCCAAAGGCTTTCGGAATATTGATGAAGTCTACCAGATACTGGCACCTTACGTCTAAGGCACTCTATGTTCTTGGATGCTCGACCCCAATAACAAACCATTGCCAATCTGCCAGCAAGTTCGTATGCCAAAAGCTATGGGGTCCTGTACCGTACTGTACTCGAGTACTATGATGGTTGGTGGGTATGGAAAGTACTAGCACTGGTAAGTTATGGAGCGACGCGTACCCGTACAGTAACTTACCGTACAGTACTTGAGCATCCATATTTGACACCACCACAATGGGACGTGAGTGGCCCCAGCGAGCTTGCATCGTTGCTTTGGACACAAGGTATCACCCACGAACCAAGAGTGCAGTTCTAGAATTCCCCAACCCTCATTGCTGGCTATCCAAAAAGGGATGCAGCCCATTAGGAAGCCAAGGGGGAAAATAGCAAAACACCGAATCCCATGATGGAGGGATAGGAGGTAGGCCCCCTTATCGCGGGTAGCTTGACGGACCCACAATGGGCGGCCGTGTTGCTGCCAAGCAAATGGGCGGGCCTGCAGGCGCATTCATGATACTATTAAGTTATGATAGTGGTAACTGATGGTAGGGCTGTGTGCTCCCCCCTGCTATCTATCCATCTTCCTCATCGATGCAACCCTCCCCCTCCTCCACCCACCTGCCATCAAACCAAGCCATCTTACCTTAGCCCTCCACGACACCTTCAAACATTCTATGGTGAGATATAGCCGAAAATAGAAATCTTCGAGGTGGGTTCATTCACTTGCCCTTTCCTCCCACGAGGATCCCATTGGCTTTATAACTCAGCCGTCCCTTCCTTCAGCTGGATCCCGCATTCCTCCTTATCCCACCACCACCACCACCACCATCACCCCACCACCACACCGACACCAACACTCGGAAATTTCTGCACCTCGCTACCTCGCGGCTCATTCTTCCTCCACCATTTTTAGCAACTTTCGCTCTCACTTCTACCTTTTGTTCATTCCATTCTCTCCCCACCACAATGTCTTCAACTCGCAAATCTACCAGGGACCAGCCATCGGCCACCTCCAGATACTCCTCTGGAGGTGAAAAAAATCCCAAACGCCTGAAAATCACCAAGCCTACCTTTATGGAAGTCGGGCCCAAGTTTGGTGGGGGAAGGGGTAAACGTCAAACTTACATGATACCTGGCGACGAGGATGTGGAAGACGACTCCCCGCCCGCCGGAATTCGTGCGAACTCTCAGTTTTCCAGCGCTTACGCCCTTAGATCACCACCTCGTTCACCACTTCAAGTTACGACTATCAACTCTGGTTTCGCGATAAGTACGGAATCCCCTCAATCTGATGATCCATTGTCGAATTTAAATGCGCCAACTGTTGCCGAAACACCATCTGCGAGACGCACCCTAACCAGAAAATCGGCCCCAGTCCCCTCCACAAATACTGATGAGAACGGTTCTGTAGGTGTGCACTTCTCTATTCCCGAAGGCTCCGCCGATAAGCATAAGAAGAGACGCCTTGACTATACTCAAACCGCAGAGTCATTGGATTACCATGATAGTGCCGAGGGCATGCTGGCTGAGAGGCTCTCTAGGAGCAGATCGAGATCTCTTGGAAGGGATCTTGAACCCCCTAATAATCATATTGACGCAGAAATAACCTCTATCTCTCCCCCAGGGAGCGCCCGATCGTCACCACTGTCTTCACTGTCGTCTTTGCCGTCCTCGAATAGGTCTTCCCCTATTTTGATCAATAGCGATTCTCCCCAGAAAGCCGATCCCCCAAAGGATAGCGGATCCAACAGGTCGTCGCCGATTAACCTTGACTCCACTGACCGCAATGACGGCTCCGGCAAGCCAGCCGGAGAGAAGGCTAAAGCGCCCCCAGTTCCCACCTGGAAGACCGGAGAAGAAAAGAGAGGAGGAAAGCGTCCGGTGACTTTCAAGAAGGCAGCTTATGGTGTGAGCGGAAAGGGAGGACGCAGCACTGTCCCATATTCCAAAGAGCTTGTGGTGTCTCATCGTACGCTTTTCCCCGAAGCCCCGGAGGAATCATTCTAATTGAGATGCAGCCCCGTTCGAATTGGAGCCAAGGCTTTCGCAGAGGGAGGGTAATACAGATATTCCCTCCCTTCTCTGTTATAACAACCACTAACGAGGCACCACAGCTCCTAGACGTGCGCTGCCCCGCGCCAAAAAACTCCAAGAGGAGGCAGAAAGGGTGTCCAAGTTAACACCCGCTACGCGTGCGAGAAAATATAAGGACGGGACCTCAAAGAGATCTGGCCGCCTACTTCCTGCAGCGCACGAGCGCGATGCCGACCTATCTTTAAGGAAAGACGAAGAGGTTGCAGGGTCCCAAGTCGAAGAACTGTCTGTAGTGGAGTCGTCATTCATCAATCCTCGCGAGAAGTTTGGTAAGAAATCGTGTTTCCCATCCGCTTTGAGGCTTGCTAATTGTCTATGGCACAGGTTCCGGTGTTATAAGGGAAGTCGGTCTTAAGAGACTTTCGGATGACGATCTTGATAGAGAAGATGATCTTCCAAGCGAGTCACCCAGATCGGCACCCAAGAGACGCAGGATCAAGCAATCGCTTTCGCCAAGTATTGTGGAGATTGAATGCCAGGCATGCAATGAACCCCTGCCTCCCAATTTCCTCGAGACCTGGAAAAACGGGGGATTCAGGAAGGGCCATATACCGTTGCTCGAGTGGATGGACATCTGCACTGAACACAAGGCGATGTCTCTGAGAGAGGAATGGATGGAGAAGGGCTACCCTAAAATTGATTGGAAAGGATTGAAAAAGAGGATTGAAAGCCACTACAAACCTATCCAAGCCATTATACACGGAGAAGCCGAATCCCCATTCATGACCATCTTCCAGCAGCAGGAAAAGGATGTCAGAGGCAATCCCATTCTCCTCCTCCGAAAGGACCATCGCTTGCAATATCCCGGGTACTACGGCCCTCGCGGGGCTAACATCATGTAAGTCTTGTCAGACCATTCTTTGGTATGAATCTTGACTAACAAATGTGAATAGGCTGCACTGGTTGCTTCGCCGTTTTGGCAATGAAATTACCGCGCGCGATAACGTGACACTTAACTTAGCTCATAGTAGCGCTGCCGCATTCGTTCAAGCCGTTCTCGTCCCTGAGATGGCCGTCCGCCTTATTATGGAGGACATGGAGGTCACCGAAAAAAGGGCCCGAGAGGTTCTCGAGGAAAGTCGCAGCATCGGCGAAATCTTGAACCTCAAGGATTACCAAGAAGATATCTACGGCACCGGTGGAAATTGGGTTGACGTGAACAATTTCGAAAATTAAATTGCCTTTGGGGAATGGCAATGAGTAGCTCTTGTCCCCGTCCCCAAAGCGGCATAATCGACCTTATTTCCTCTCGGTTTCACATCCCCAGTCTCAGGTTTTCATAGGTTTAGCGAGCTTATCCGCCCGCTCTATTTGTTTTCTTGGCTTTCTCTGTCTAGCGGCGGCGGCGGGCTCATTTACCACTAATTGTTGTATAACATGTCTTTCTTATGTTTGGGCGGTAACCATGTTTCCTCTTATTAACCTACCGGTATTATCATTAGAAGCCTCCAAATGTGTTATAGCCCCCTCCATGTATCTTGCACTTTTTTAGTCCGTGTACCTCTTGTTCGCGGCTGCAGTGCCAGTCCTATTACTCTCTCAAAAAAAAAATAGAAGCAAGTTGAAACAAAAATCGAGCATTTGACGTCATTAAATATTCTAGAGCCGCGACCTTATCGATAAGCTTATTTCCACGTGGGTTATGCGTGCCAAGATATGCCAAACTTTATCCCGACTTCTGGATGTGTATATTATCATCTGATACGGTAGCTGTGCTCGTGGGTCGCTATTCTTACCCATTCCCCCTCTCCTAACCACCCACCTTGCCTGCTCCAACAAAGCAGACTAGCGGTTAGACACAACACATTACGGACAACCACGAAAAAAAATGTCACTAAACACTCTCCTCTCATCCGCCTACTCCCCAACCACCGCCTCAGAAGTCCACTCTTCTATAGCTTACAAACCCCTACGCCTCCACCCAACCACCATTCCCCCCCCTCCTCCCGCACCACCATCAAAGCCCCTAACAGCAGCCCAGAAGCGTGCTCAAAAAATTCATCAAATCCCCAAATCCGTCCCGCCCTCCACGCTCCACGCTCTCCACGCCCTCTGGAGCAACTATGCCGCCGATCTCCTCCGTCCCACCTCCTCCTTAGCGGTGGCGGCGCAGCTCATGGCTAGCGCGGAATTCGTCGGCGCGAGGATGGAGGTTGTCCGGAGCGCGTGCCCTAGCCTTGTGGGTATTGTGGGGGTTTGCGTGGTGGAGAGGAGGGGGGTCGTGTACATTGCTTGCGAAGAGACGGGGCGGGTTAGGGGGGTTGGGAAGGGGGTGTGCGTCTTGCGCGTCGAGGTCGGGGGAGGGAAGGAGGGGGAGGGGAGGAAGGTGTTTGAGGTGCATGGGAGGAGGTTTTTGGTGAGGGCTGGGGAGAGGGGGGGGAAGAAGTTTAAGGGGAGGGGAATGTTGGAGCTATAGGATTGTATCATATGGCTTCACACGACGATTCCCAATAATCTCTCACCATTTTTTTTCCCATTATCATTTTTTAGCACCTTACCACAATCAACCACTACCACCACCCCCACACAACTCCCAAACTCATAGATCCAGCAATTATCCAAACCAACCAATAAGTACCACAACAACCCACAAAAAAGCATTCCCAAACCCGTAACATAACCCCCAGTCAGACCCCAAATAATAAATAATAAATAAAACCCAAATCTGCAGTACGATACCATAACGACCCATCCCCCCACTATATATCTAGGCATTATATTATATTATATTGGAGTTTGTAGATGAATGAATGAATGGTTGGGGTTTGTGAGCTGTGAAGGGGTGGGTGGCGAGTCGTCGTTTGTTCGTGGCTGGTGTGGTATTATACTTTGTTGTGTGCGCAATTTGTGTCAGGGGTGTGGTGCTGTACTAGTACGGTACTGCGGGGATGGGGGGAAGGGAGGGAGAGTGTACTTGCTGGTGTGGGTGGAGCTGGTTGTTGGTGCTCTGCTATAATATTGTCCTGCGGTTTACTGGGGGAGGGGAGGAGGCGCTAGTATGATATTTTTTACTGTATGTGTTTTCGGCGCTCGGTCGTATATGTAGGCGGGTATAGTAGCCTCCGGCAATCCCGCCACCGGTGTTTATCATGTTATGACACTCTCACTAGCACCGGCCAAATTCAACACATAAAATTCAACTTATGAATACACACAAAAGAATACCAATCTATCCAGCCAATCATAAAGGTAACAAATGAAGAAATTTGGTCCGAAGGGGAAAAAAAGGGAAGAAGGAGAAGAACTAAGGTAAGGGATGCACAATTAAAAGCGAGAATAAGATCAAATCCCCTTCCAAGCCAATTTCGCAATATGATCCGTCTTCTTCTTCGTATGCTTCACGAAGCCCAAGAAGCGCATTTCCGCGAGCGATCTGTAGAACAGTGCCCTTCATACCAATGTCAGTGACCTAAAGCGGAGCAGAGGCAGAAGTGGGGAGAATACTGAGCAGTCTGTGCATCGAATTCCTCTTCATCGCCGGCAATAACGGAGTAAAAAGCGCTCCAGAGATCGTATATATTGATCAGCGCGCCAGACTCCAGGTATAATTGGTATATGATGCTGGCAGGGGGTTGGGTTCCCCTGATACCGACCTCCTCCCCGTCGCCAGAGGTACAGCACGAACAGTCGAGGTAGTCTTGTGGCCGAGACAACCCGCGCTCAATTGTGGAGCGGGGCTTTGGCGCGAAGACCTGCCAGCTGTCAGCAGCTATCAATAGAGGATAGGGAAAGGGGGGCCAACAGCACTATGTGGAGACCTCAAGTCGTAAAAGAAGATCTCGTGTAGGAGCACATTTTGCAGGCCGTGCTGACTGGAGTTGAAATTGACCGTGAGGTATGATTCGGCGATAGCATAGACCTGCTGGACCAATGCCGAATACTCAGTATCCTGCTTGGTCAACGAAGACTTTTGCTCGCCAAGTCGGACTTTCTTCGAGACGGCGGTTCCCCGCAAAGTATTATTCGTGATGTCAAACTCGCTGATCAGGGTTTTTTTCCCTCCAGAAGCCGCTGCTTCCTCGACCAGCTTTTTTATCTTTTCCTGCAAGGGTTTCAGAGGCTCAGTGATAGCCGGTATTGGGACCTCTTGCATGACATTTTCGAGGAGGTTGAGTAGAGCGGTAGAGCTCATTCGCTTCAAAGACATCAGAAATTCTCTGATGGAAGGACCAGTTTGAAGCTCTCCGGAAAGAGCTTTCGCATAAAGTTCGTAACGTGGGGTTTTGTTCTGGGCCAGTGTACAGCTGCGTCCAATCTCCAAGAATGCCAATGCCTGGCCTAGCTCGATACCGTAATTTCGCGATTCTAGAATTTTTTCGGCAACAGTGTGGCGAACATAATTGTCATCGGCAAGTAGCTTGCGGACCTCACCGACTTCCTTTGCGGCCAACTTGCCTTCTACATATCTCCTGAAAGACGGAACGTTTCTGATTGCCTCCACATGCTCAGTGGATAGTACCTCCCCAAGGCCATCGGGATTATCAATAAACCCAAGGATAATGCTTAGAGGGTTGGCGTAGAAGTGAGACATATAGGCATACTTTCAACTGTCATCAGGGGATCTATCATATATTTCAGGGGAGGGTTACCTTCAACGCCCCCACAAAGGTTTGTATACTCTGAGTGTGGTCCCTATATCGTTCAAGGAGGAAATCACAGACAGACGCCCCGAGCCTAAGAACAGCTTTATCGCTTGTTATTGAGTCGTTAAATATCTGGGCAAGGCACTCCTCGGCCCGTTCGACGTCAAACTTATTTCCCCTCATCAGACGAATCGTCGATTTCGGAAGCTTATCATGAAATATCTCCACGGAGGTCGCGATACCGACCAGAAGCACAAATGGTATGCGATCCAGATATGAACCAAAAAGTGTGATCAAATCGGAGAGAACATTGCTATCAAAGGCTTCGGAATCCTGTATCGCAATGGTGACCTTCTGGCCAGCGTGAGATCGACACCAAGTCTGTAAAATTTGTAAATCATAGTTGAGTAATTTCGTGCTCTGCGACCGGGTTAGAAGGGAGCTCCTCTGGGGATCTTCATCCACCCCACCAACCTTGCGAGCAATATCCTCTTCATCATCTACGCCTTCGTCCTGCTGTGTAGCATCCCTAATCAATTTCCTAAGAGTGGTCTTCAGGCTGGTAGCATCTTTAGAGGTCAGGACCACAACCGGTCCGGTCCTATCCTGATTCCGTATGCGCTGAGCTAGCTGTTCGAATAGCAGTTCATGCGACGCAATGTTTGGACCGGCGAGGACAAGCGCTGTGGGGATCTTCCCTTCGAATCTATTGGACCGTAAACATGCGGTTCCCGAACAAAGGCATTCTGAATTACTTCTCTGGTGCAGCATCCTTTACAAAAGCTGAAACGTCACCCAGAGTCTTGCTGTTGAAAGAATCTAGAATAGCCTGTATCTCTATCAGCACATGTAGCCAAACGCTGCTATCCCTCATAACCTCACCTTCGTTCTCTTTTCTTGCGCCTCCCAAAGTTTACAGTACGTCCGGTATCTAAGCTTTAGAGTACTCTCCGTCTCTTTACCATCTAACAGCACAGGGAAAAGACATTTCTCCTCCTCTACAGCTGCTTTCTCCGTAGCACGTTGTTTGCCTTTAGTCTTCCGGCGCTTTGTCGGTCTATCCTCTTCGCCGTCCAGGGTGAAAATGTAACATCCCTAACACACAACCTGTAAGCTAGATGAGCATTAATGGCAGTATATTGGGAGGTAATACCTGGTGCTCCTTGGGATCGAATTCGTCAATGTAAACTTCTTCTGGCGGAGTTGACTCCATTTTTTTTGTCGCGTGGATTGTCGAGGTTTTGGCGCAAAGTTCGGGCAGACGCGTCGGAAATCTCGACAAACTTGAGCCTCACCCCAACCACCAACAAGAAAAATGTAGGAAAACGGCCTAGATAACCCCGGGAACCGATGTCCTTAACATAATATGAAACCCGATAAATTAAATTCGATAGCTCTTGACTTTCTTTCAGACATCCCCCTCTTGCCCCCGCCGGGTACAGTACTCGAGTACAGTACTGTGCTGGTTGATGCTGTGTGAGCATTTGCCGTGCCTCGGCTCAGTCACATAATAGCTCATTTCTCCACCATTCCGGTTGCTAAGCTTCAACCGCGATAACGATACTTCTAGACTACCCTACCCGCACTATAATTCCTCGAAGTACTCGTACAAGCTACAACGGAATCAAAGACTAGTGGCAATATATATATAAAATGTCACCACTATCGCCCAACTCAACAGTACTTTGCCCCAGGCTCCAACTAAGATTCCCAACTAACCCGGCCCCAGAAAGCTCTTGACCGGCTACGGACATATGTCCCTCCGCCAACCATATATTCTTCCCTTCCCATGCACTGTCGGGCAGCAGTACTGTTACTACTATTTGCGGACAGAGCTGGCAATTTGTGCGTAGCCTTAACGGTTCGTAGCGCATCACTCCGCACATTCGCAGGTCAAGTTGCTTTACCTGGAGGTAGGAGCTGTCATACAGCTGTCCCCGGCCTTATACCCCTCCAGATAATTATTACTAATCGCGCTTATAGGGAGAAGCGACCACCCGGACGAAACACCGGTGCAAACTGCCCGGAGAGAAGCTTATGAGGAGATCGGCCTCCCGCTACATTCGCATCCGTTTCCCTCGCTGTTTTCTGTAGAGCACTTGACAGAGCTACCACTATTCTTAGCGGGCACAAACATCAGTGTGAGGCCGTGCGTAGCATTTCTGCGTGACATTACCAAAGGTCAAACAGCGGATGTCAACGATAGCCTCATGCCGGAACTTAATCCTAAGGAGGTTGCCAGTGTTTTCACTGTTCCGCTAGAACGCTTTCTAATGAATGACTACGATGATGATGGTGCAACAAAAAAGTGGGACGACGTTCCATGGTATACTGGGGACTGGTTTAGTTGGGGTGGGAAGAAGTGGAAGTAGGCTTACATCCCAACTATCTATTCGCCGCAACGAGATCTTAATTTGACGTGTATCACAATATAGGAATAATGAATTCCAAGCGCCAGTCTGGAGCGGTGCCAGGCTTTTGCGATACAAAATCTGGGGGATGACGGCGAGGGTTCTAGTCGATGCTGCGAGAATTGCATACGGGCGGGACCCAGATTTTCCTTCTCCAAAAACAATTGGAGATGAAGGCTTTGTTGCGTCCTCTTTCGCTACAAGAGGAACGGGCGATGAGGACAGTGCAGGGCCTGGAGGATCGGGGAAGGGGCAAGAAAATCTGTAGGTTAGATGTCGATATTCTGGCCCTTGCTTTTGAGATTCCTACACAATCGTGCTGTGGGAATTGGAGCTGTAGCTGGCCGGGTGGATTGCACAGATCATCCCCTGTAGACATAATACCTACAAGTACATCTATTTATGAATATCATGACATGAAATAGCTATTGCAATTAGGAATCCCCTGAGCATAAGGTTTTGCCGGAAGAATGGTTAAGCCTCGTAAATACGGGGCGAGAGGTTTATTCATAGAAAGTGCATATAGGTATCAACATTCAAACTCTTAAGTCACTTACCTGTCACCATGCCTGTTCCTTGGCCTGCACATTTACTTGCATAGAGGGGGCCCGACATTGGGCGATGCCTTGCCACTATCATAACCAGAATCATACACCGCCAAATACCTGTGAAACCGTGCCCCCTAGCTTGGCCCTCTTTCACTCGGCTTCCGCCCGTTCAGTGGCCACTCCGGGCAGCTCAAAATGCCAAATCCGAGTCTCATCTTAAATATTCCCGAGTGACCCCTCATGCGCCAAGCCGAAACAAGCGTCATCATCCACCCCCGCCGGTCTTACAAAACCTCCTTTCAGCACCATTGCCCTACCCTACAAGCCTCACCCAAAACGAACTTCACCTCACCTCGCCTTCGCCCCAAGCTACGAGCACCCCTCCCACCACCATCAAGTATACACAACGGCATCTATCATAAGCTTCAAAATCCATGGATGACTTCAACTCGATCCATTGGCGAAGTGCCTCCGATGACGAAGAAGAGCCCTCCTTCCGCCCGACCACATCTGACTTCCCCAACGGAGAGGAACCTCAGGCGGGCCATAGCGCGGACAAAATAGACATGACAGGGATGGGCAACGGAACCCTGGAAACTAAAGTTTCAGATCCACAAACAGAGAATGAAGGGACGAAGGATGCGTTTGTTTCGTACTTGGTCACTACGAAGGTAAAGTGGCAACTCTTTGAGCTCTCGTTGCTGGGCAATGGCTGAGGAATGAACCCCCGATACTTGCAGACAGACTTCCCATCCTTTCAGAAGCCGCTGGTGGCAGTGCGAAGGAGGTTTACGGATTTCGTGTTTATCTGGACCATGTTAACGAGGGAGTTTCCTGCTTGTGCGGTTCCGCCATTGCCGGGAAAGCATAAGATGGGTGATTATCTCATATAGGACCTGCAGATCCTACGAGCCTGAACTAAACAAGCTATATAGAATATGTACGAGGGGATCGTTTCGGCCCGGACTTCACCAATCGTCGCGCCAACTCTCTCAACCGTTTCCTCAACAGACTAACCCTTCACCCCGGCCTCCGCCGAACCAGCCTCCTAATGGTGTTTCTCGAATCCCCCGACTGGAACGCCCACATGCGCTTCAGACCCACCCGGGGAGTGCCCAGCAGCCAAGGTGAAACCGGCGGGGTATTTGAGGGCCTAACGGACACTTTTCTTAACGCCTTCAGCAAGGTCCACAAACCCGACAGACGTTTCATAGAAGTCCGTGACCGAGCAGACAAGCTTGACGATGACCTTATGCACGTGGCAGCTATAATCACAAAGGTAGTCCGACGAGAAGCGGACCTCGAGGCAGACTACTCGGACCTCTCCAAAGAATTTCTTAAACTCCTGGATTTAGAGCCAGAGCTCATCGGGCCGGTAAATTACTTCGCCGCCGGCGTCCGAACCACCAGCAGCGGCCTCCGGAAGCTAAAAGAGCACACAGACCAAGATTACCTCGGCAGCCTCAGGGACCTACAGAGCTATATCGGCGCCCTAAAAGCCCTCTTGAAAGCCCGTGAGCAGAAGCAACTCGACTTCGAGGCGCTAACAGACTACCTCAACCGCGCCGCCACAGAGCGGGACCAAATTGCCTCCGCGCCCGCAGGTACAACGGGTCTTGGGGGCCCTACCGGCTTCCTACGCAGCAAGATTGAGGACGTGCGCGGCGTCGACCATGAACAATCTCGCCGCGACCGCGTCCGAAAGCTAGAGCTACGAATCGAGGAGCTCACACGCGAGTCGGAGAACGCGAGAAAGGTCACGGAGGCCTTTGATGAGGAGGTCATCCGCGAAGTCAATGACTTTGAGCGTATCAAGAGCTGCGAGATGAAGGATACCCTGGGCAGCCTCGCCGCCGCCAATGTGGAGTTTTATAAGGGCATGGTTGAGACCTGGGAGAAGATGCTGATGGAGGTGGAAGATGGGGTGCGAGAGCGATAGGTAGGTGGATGGATGGAGGATTGGTGGTAACTTAATGAAAGTATGGATGGGAGTAATTGAGGGAAATGGGGGGGGCGTAGTTCTTTTTCTCTTCACGGACTTGTCATAGCTTTGAATTGTCCCAGCCTTGGCTAAGGGACGGGTGGAATGAACAACAGAGGAAAGATCTGGGCCTTTCTTTCTCTTGTATGATCGCTCGTGGGTGGATGGATGGATGATTGGGGTGAATTACTTACTGTACTATCTCACTGCAGGACTTTACAACGAACTTAGTATTCCCATGACACGATGCGCTCCGGACCTATTTTTTTCCCTCAATGTAAACTAGGCTAGCGAGTTAATTGTTTGTAATAATACATCTATTGAACCCGGCAATCCCACTCTAAAATACTGCGATCGCAATCCCATTGGAGCCTAAAGAAAAGAGAAAAAAATGCCATAAAAAAACTAACCCACCATGCTTGTACCGTGGAGGGAAAAAATAAATAAAAATAGAGCAAAAACTTGAACAAACCAACACCCCGAAACGACCCGAGGGAGATGATAGAATCTCATACCTTCCCCTCCTCCTGCGTAACTTCCTCCTCCTCCTCCTTCCTTATCCTAGCCTCAATCTTCGCCTTCTCCGCAGCCCTCATGCGCATGAGCGTGATACTCTCGTAATCCGGACTCTGCGCCGCGGCATTCTTGTTAAACGGGGATCCTCTCGGAGTTCCGGCGAAGCTAGCAAAGGAGGAAACCCTATTGAGTTCAGGACCTCTGGCAGTAGTGGTGGTGGTGGTGGTGGTGGTGGCTCTTGCTGGGGTGGATGGCTTCGACTTGGGCGACGATGTGCACGGTTCGGGGGTGGGGGGGTTGTGGGAGATGTCCGGCTCTTTACCACTTGCCCAGATGAGGTCCTTAAGCCGTGGGTCAAGGGCGTCGTGAATGGCGGTGTGGGCAGCAACAATGGAGATGAAGACTATCAATGCCGACCTGAGTTTCTTTTCCTTTTCCGGTTTTGTGGGTGGGACGACGCAGTCCTGTATGGCGCCGTATTTTGAGAACATGCTGCGGAGGTGTTGTTCGTCGATGTGTTCGTTTCCTTTGCGCTTCCAGCGGACTCTCAATGTACGATCGATTTCTGAGAACCTGCTCTCGCCGCTGCATCCACCATCCACCATCTCCCCGTCTCCATCAGTCATAGCCTCATCTTCCTTCCCTTTTTCCTTCTTATTCTCCTCCTCCTCGGCCGCCGCAGCCCTGATCGCCTCCTCCCTCTTCCTCCTCAACTCCGCTCCTTCAGCCCTCAATTTCTCTAACAGCTGGTGAAAGCGCTCTTCCGCATCCTCACCGTCGACCCTAGCCTTCTTAGCCCCTCTCTCCCGACTCTCCAGCTCCTCCTGCATCCGCTTGCGATTCACATCGAATGCCTCGCTCCTACGCTTCCGCGCCAATCGCGCGTTGCGTGCGTTGTCGTATGCTGCCCGCGTCGCCGGGTCCGAGAGGACATCGTAAGCTATTGAGAGGAGGTGGAATATCTCTGCAGCTTCGGGGGAGGGATTCTTGTCCGGATGCCATTTGAGGGAGGCCTTGCGGTAAGATTTTCGGAGGAGGGAGGGGGTCAAGGGTGTGTTGGAAGAGGGGAGCTCAAGGAGTTCGTAGAAGTCGGTTTCGCTAGTGGTGGCGTAGGACGCTGCGTCGGATTCCGTGGAAGGCATGATTGTGGTAGACGACTTTGGCCGAGAGGTGGTGGTGGAGGGAATAAGAAGCAAATGATACGTTATAGGATGGGGAGGGGAATTGAAGATTCGGGTGGAGGATTCGAGATTGTCATTGTGCACGGCTACCGCAGTTGCATGATTGGGCTTGGCAACGTGGGACCAAATTCGAATTGGGATCTCGTATCATACAAAAAAAAAAAGTGAACTTGGGCAACATTTACCTTTGATATTGAAGGGCTCCTGGACTGCTCCTACTATATAATATAATACAATACCGGGCGTGTCTCATCGCAGCCCAGAATACCCCCCCGCCCTCTCCTCAACCTCAACTTCAATCCTCCCATCCTCAACCTCAACCCCACCAACACTGACCCCCGCAGTGATAACATCACCAGGCACAACACTCCCCACACCCTTCGGTGTTCCCGTGAGCACGAGGTCATCCTCCTCGAGCGCGAATACCCCGCTAACATGCCGCAAAACCTCCGGGATCCTAAACAACATCAAGTCCGTACTATCATCCTGGCGGACCTCCCCGTTAACCTCCAAGTGCAGACGAACATTGTGCGGATCCGGGATTCTATTCCTGGGAATGAAGCGCGATACCGGCAGGAAGGTCTTGAAGCCCTTGGCCAGTGACCACGGCAGACCCTTTTCGCGCGCTACTCGTTGCCCTGGTGCCGGTCACCACCTATCCGTTAGTATCATGTACAAAACTCGTACGATACCATGATATCATAAGATTGTGTAGAACGGAAATGGGTGGGTAGTAGATGATGGCGAAATACAATTCCGAGCCGTCATATCTATCCCGACGCAATACCCTTTCACAGCGTCCAGCGCCTCCGAGGGCTGAAGCTCGTCCGCCGTTCTCCCGATGATCACTCCCAGCTCGACCTCATAGTGGAGGTCCGCCCCGCGCGGAGCGAGGATTGGTCCCTGTCCCGGGTGCAGGATACTCGTCGCTGGTTTGAGGAAGTAGAATAGCTCCCTTGGACGCTCGTTGCCGAGCTCCTTTATGTGGTCGGCGAAATTGCGGGCGATGCAAGCTATCGAGCGGGGTTTGGGGATTAGTGAGAGCTGTTGGGTTGGGTTAACGAGAATTGGTAAGGACTTGACTGAGCGCTGTGGGGGAATCGAGTGATATATCACTTACTCTTGTGAGCGGCATTTTTGGCGCGTGCATGGGGAGGAGGAGGACGGGTTTGAAGATGTAATGATAGGTTCACCGCCAATATGCCCCAACGTTATAAGGTGGAGGGAAGTCGTGATATTTTCGGGGGAGAAGTTGGAGTGGTGGATAGGATATTGACAACCGGTGTTTAATGCCGGGGTTATGTGAAGTGGTCCTAAATTCAGTTACACAGTACTGCACCCTTTCACAATCTCTCTAAGGTGACTGGCGACAATGGTGTTCGAGTTTCAGCAACCCATGCTAGGGCTCCAGGAGCACGATACTCATATTATAACTGATTTACATGTAATCGTAGAGGCATAACTTGTTCAGGTACAGTCCGACTCATCACGTCTACTCGAGTACAGCTGATAAAATATTATTTCAAGATACACAGCAATACAAAACTAAGGTGCTGGAAATAAAATTTAGCTAGAAACTATTAACTAAGCCCCCCCCCCCTCCCAGCAGTCTGCACCACCATAATTCTACCTAATCCGCGTATAAAGGAACCAACTAAAAGCTAATAATGTGAAGGGAGGCATGCAACCGAAAACAAATCAAGAACTGGAGCCTTTGTCAAAGGCCATGAAACGTTGCCATCGTCATCGGATGATTTTCCATTCAGGTATTCGAAAATTGCCCTTTTAGGGAAAAAGAAAACACAGTCCTGTCCCGATATGAATGCCAATTCTCAACCCAGATGAAAAACGCATACAGAAAGAATCGGAAAGGACTAAGACAAGGGAAAAAAAGGGAAGAAATCATAAACCCGGGACGGGAGTGGGTTATAGAAAACTTGGTAAAAAAAAAAACTTTTATTTAGCTGTAATTATGAAAATCGTTTAGATGAGGTCGGCAACGTTCCTGAGAAAGGGTATATTGTTAGCAAGGCCGAGTGCAGCGGCAACGAAATCATTGGGTATACAAACATTGGCATCTCCTCGATTTGAGTGGAATAGAACTGCTCAATCTCACGCATCATACGGATATCGTCCTAAGGATTGCGGATAGTTAGCTTCTCACAATCGCAAGTGAGCAAGTTTGATGGGAAGCATACAGTGGTAACAAAGTTGATAGCAACACCCTTACGGCCGAAACGACCACCACGGCCAATACGATGGATGTAGTTCTCCCTGTTTGCAGGCAAGTCGTAGTTAATCACAAGGGACACTTGCTGGACGTCGATACCGCGCGCCAAAAGGTCAGTAGCAATCAAGACACGGGAAGAACCAGATCGGAACTCCTTCATAATGAGATCTCGCTGCTGCTGATCCATATCTCCATGCATAGCGGAAACAGTGAAGTCGCGCTCGGTAAGCATCCCGGTGAGCCAGTCGACTTTTCTACGGGTGTTGCAGAAAATAACGGCCTGGGTGATGGTGACCGTCTCATACAAATCGGAAAGTGTATCGAGCTTGAAATCTTCTTGCTCAACAGCGATAAAGAATTGCTTGATACCTTCGAGGGTCAATTCGGCCTTCTTGACCAAGATGTTGACAGGGTCAACCATAAAGTTTTTGGAAACATCAAGGACATCTTGAGGCATAGTGGCGGAGAGCAAGACAACCTGGATGGTTTCTTTGTTGAGATATGTAAAGATATCGTAAATTTGCTGGGTGAAACCACGCTGGAAGAAACATTAGTACTGGGGTTGACAGACCACAAAATCAAGTTATACAAACCGATAGCATTTCATCAGCCTCATCAAGGACGAACATTTTGATAGTCCCAGGCAGTAACGCATCGCGCTTGATCATGTCAAAGACACGACCAGGAGTGCCGACAACGATGTGCACACCTGCTTCAAGGATCCGGATGTCCTGGCTTACGACAGTTCCCCCAATACAAGCATGGCACTCAATGTTCATGAAATCTCCAATAGCAATAATGACCTTTTGGATCTGTTGAGCGAGCTCACGGGTAGGGGCCAGGATCAAAGCCTGGCATTCCTTACGGGAGAGATCGATCTTCTGAAGAACAGAAATCGAGAAAGTTGCAGTCTTTCCAGTTCCGGATTGGGCCTGGGCGATAACATCACGGCCTATGTGGTGATAGATTTTTAATATATTGATCGTGAGGGAAGGAGGGGTGAAAAAACATACCTTCAATGACAGGGACAATGGCAAGCTGTTGGATGGCAGAAGGGCGCTCAAAACTAGAAAAATGTCAGAACACCTTGCGTCACTTATTGAGCTGGTTCCGTACCCGTATGCGTAGATACCTAGGAGAGAACGAAATCAGCGTCATGAACATCGAAACAAAAATAGTGAAAGAAAAAAAAAACTGTTCTGCGGTCTCTGCGGTCGCACAACACAGTGAATGCCGTGGAGCAAAGGAAAAGGAAAAAAACTCCCAAGTTGCTTACCTCTGAGGAGCTCAGGTCTCAGACTCATCTGATCAAATTCTTGGATAGAAGAAGCCTGACCCTGTTGCGTTTTGTAGGTAGACACAAGTTCTCCCTAGATAAGTGAATTGTGAGCGTCGAGTTCACGTGCAGCGGTTGCCCCGCAGCCAGCACCCCGCAGGGGCGAAAGGCAGGAAAAGCGGAGACAAATCCGGTATGACACAAAGAAGAAGGGAGAACGTGTTCCAAAGAGCATTTCCTACCTCAACATCCTTAAGACCTTCGGTGTCCATGCTGGGCAGGTGGTTGATAGAGGTGGGGTAGTTTTTTTTCTCGAGCGGTAGATCGTAGTAATTGCTGTTTGTACGGGTGCGAGTTCGTTAGCGATTGAGTAGAATGAGATGATAAGAGAGGAACTTATCTACCAGTAAATAGTATCTGCAGTAGTCTCCTTATCAGAAGGAATGAGCACTACGAATGGTGGTTTCTTTTCTTGATGTGCTGTGAAAATTTGTGGTTGATGGTGGGGGAGGGAAAGGAGGGACGAGAGGTGAGGGGCAGAATATGTAGGCCGCGAGCGAGGGGTGCAAATTTTTTTTCTCCCTCTGAGCCCTCAGCCACTCCATAGCAGCGCTAGTCCAATAGAAGGGTTTGGTCGCACCCTGCTCGAACAATTGGGCTGTTGCTACGGTATACGACTAGCCTCATCATGTTGACGCCACTAGCATACCGGTACTCGAGTAGACCGAGGTCTCGGGTATTAGTCACTTGGGACCAAGAAAGAGCCCTCAACGAAGACAAAAAAGGAAAGAAGAAAAGTATGATGATGATATTGTGATATTAGTCAATTGATCACGTGATTAAAATTGTTATAATACAGCAGGAGCCTGCAAGAAACGAGATCATGCGATCCATGGCTGATATTAGCTACACAAGTACTCGTACGATACAGGTGCTCGAGTACCGTGCTCGGGTACCGGTATTGTACCGGGATAGGTGTGATGTGATAACCGTGCCAAGGTTCCTGTCGATTGTGTAACTGTAAGCTGTCGCAAATCTTGCAGCGTGTCTACAATGTGCCTGACCATTCAATACCAGTTTTAGCTCAATATCAGATTTTGTAATACTTGAAATCTAAATTTACATTTCCTCAACTACTCCTACCTACCAGTATGCCATTACTTCTCAGCTGTCTTAAGAAACACTTAAGTTCCTTAAATACTAGTTTTTATCTTTTTTTCTAATCTTAAATAGCTCTAGTTTTAAGCTATTCTAGTTTTTAAGTTCTCTCCTTTCTTAATATTTTTCAATATGTTCTCCTCTTATTTTTATTTTTTAATATAAAGCTACTACCCAAAAGTCTTGGTGATAGCTTAGTAAGCAGCTCAATTGAGCAATGACTGCAGCATGTGACTATGAATATTATAATTCTGATTCTTTTAAAAATACAGTACCAGTACTGAACCCAGAATGATCATACCATCCAAGACTTGAACAGTAAAGAAAGCAAAGACAAAGACTAAGACAAGCTGCTATGAGATGACCAATATGGATGAAAATGGTATGATAATTGTCTGTCACGGCCACCCGGCTATGGAGACGGAATATGCATGGGTTCTTCGTTGCATATATTGGTTGTGGTTTTCTTGATTGTATGGTTGGATTCCCTTTGTATAAACGATTGGGATGTGTTGCCGCGCAACGCAAGATAGCGGAACCAGATGGAGGAATCGCGGCTGCGTGCGACACCAAGGACTTTCTTTTGTATTAGTGATCATGGAGGATTTTCTTACTATATAAAGGGGTGTGCCCCTTTATATTTTTCTTTCTTTACGCAATCTGGTAATCTCCTTACCTAGGAATTACACCCTCTACTTTCTGGCGTCCTCTTGAACCTCTGAACCCTGACCCTGAACCCCTGAATCCTGAACCTCGTACAACTCGCTTCAGTTGTACCCCCATACCTAGACCTCGTCTCCCGAATCCTGCCTGTCCTGATTGTGGTGTGCCTTGGGCTACCCGACCCTCAGACCCTGTCCGTTACATTGTCTTCTTTT